TCCTCACCTCCGTCCGAAGTCCCCACACAAGACTAATCGGCAGCGCCGCCAAAAAGAAATCCATCGCCGCATGACAAGCAGCCCCATAAATCGAAAAACTGCTCTGGATCGCCGGATCCCAGCACTTCGTCCTGCTCTTCACATCCCCATCCCACAACGCAGCGGGGTCTTCACACTGCGCAAACGTCAACACGATCATGATAATCGTGTTCGCCGTCGTGATTGCGCTCGCTACATACAGCGAGTAGCGTCGCCATACGGAGGCGCGGTTGAGTAGCCGGATGATGAGGAATGCGACGGAGATTTTAGTGGAGCCGAGACAGAAGATGGCGAGAGGTTGGGCGATCCAGTTCAGTTTTACGAGGTAGGTCATTTGGAGCGGGTCTTGGACAAGGTAAACGAGGTGACGGGTTCCACCAGAGAGGGAGAAGAGAGAGACGAGGACTGTGAGAGGGAGGAAAACGATCTGGTGGTTGGGTTAGTCAGTGTTGGTCATGGGAGGGAGGAATGAAGATGGAGTGAGAATGATAGAGAGATATATGGAAACTCACCCAGGTTACGAGCATACACCAGTCATCGATTCCGATCCCTGCAATGCTGAACCGCGCGCAGAGTCTCCCGACTACGAATATGAGAGTGAGGGCGCATCCCGTGATGTAGGTCGCTGCGAGGTGGGCTCCTCGATCATGGTCTGGGTATCCGAATTCTTGCTCTAACGGCATGATTGCGGAGTCGAACAACCAGGTATGTGGGAACACTGTTATGATTTGGCGTGGATGATGTGTTCGAGTTCGGGATCGAGTCTTGCCTGTCTAGTATACTCGACTGATTATATCCGTGATCGACATTCTCCTCGCACCAAAAACAGATGTGTATATAGTCAAAGTCGTCAATCTTAAGCGCACAAAAACGGGATCCTCGATAACCAAAGCAAGATCTATTCCAGAGCGAGGGGCACCAGTCTATTGTATAAGGGGTGCGGTGCCACCCCAATCCACTGGACGGGCCAGATGTGCGCATTCTGCTTCTTTCCCCGCACCTTACCTTTCAACCCTGTGCCTCACGACTCAGCGCCGCCGCAACTGAAGCTTGTGATCACAGCGGGACAGCCAACGGAGTCCAACTCCAAGCCAGAAGTGACAGTGCAATGCAGTGCCGTGTCCAGGGCCCGTCACCAAACACCACAGAAACAAGGCCGTTAGTCCAGGACGCCCGGGATCCAGAATTCTTGTTCCTGAATTGTAAGACTGGAGTCCTTGTGTTACGTGCAGTTGTATGGCTTTTTTCGGCTGTGATCGTCGCTCTTTTCGGAAGGTGAGGCACTGTCCCCTGACTAGTTGCGGTGATGGGATCCGTGCACGTGCATTAGCTTCGGGCGAAATGCGACGAGCTGGTGGATTGTTATACTTGTAGTCCACGTGGAAAGGGTTTTGTGTTGTGTAATGTGTAGCGATGAGGGCCGTGGGTGGCAGTGACAGTGGCACTGGTGGCAAAGCTTATCTATACAGTGACTATGTCCATACACAGTATTTGTTGGCGGTGTTGGACGGAGCGTTGTCTAGTAGTGCATGGAGCGGCACAGCAACTCGGAGACGTCTTCGAAGAAGGTGGAGGATTGTCAGCAGTTGGAAGGTCCTGCGCGCACAGTGGGTTGCGCATTGTCTTGTCTGGATTGTTATGAACGGCGACGAACGTGCGCTAGGGGTATGATACCGGTAAGTCATGATTGCTTCGCTCAGGAGGTGGGGGTGGGTGGAAAGTAACTACTACTACGTGCAAGCTACTGTATTGTGAACCTTGGAAATGCCGCCTTTCCAAACATTTGGCGAGACGTGCTACGCAAACTCTAAGATGCCGTCTCGTCAACAGTGACAGGCGTCAACTTAGTCACAACTTTACGTCGCCGCTAATCCCTTGTGTTGGCTGAGTGGCGGTACACAGTTGGACCTTGTTGGTATCCGGGGATGTAGAGCGGGGCGGATTTATTGGTTGGGACCCTTGGAGGATGAATGGACCGCCGGCGATAGCCAGGAATCGTTGCCCGGTGATGCGCCATGAGGAGGCGTTGGATTTGCAAATAGTGAGGAAGATCTGACGTGCAAGTGAGTTACACAAAACACGTGGGGTCGGACGTTGTCGTAACTAATTATCGAATATGGCCATTGTTTGATGTACTCCGTTCATGCATAAGCTTAGCCGACCTTAAACCTTCTGTACTGTGTACAACACCGGACCGCACACCCTTGGTCTAGGGAAAAGAAGAGAAAAATAAACACTTTGGTATCTAAAACGATATGCCTACCTGAAGTAAGGCGAATAACGGGAATGATTATTGTTGCGTCCTTGGCAGTAGGCCCCTTAGGTCGCTGCACCTCTGCTCTCGCCCTGCGTCCTGGCCCTCCATGCGCATTTTAATACTCCTATCCTTTCCTGCCTCTCTATTCGTGAACAAAAACCTCTTGGGGTTCGTCGGATCCACTGCATTCCAGACGGGATTTTTGGGGTTCTTGTCTGGGTTGGGATCCAGATGCTTGATGAAAGAAATGAAATATTCCGACACCTCGTTCATTGGTCGACTGAGGACCCGACCAACGGTAGCGGCATGCTTAGTGCCGAAGCCGTTGTCGTTGTCAGGGCCCCATGTGACATCCCACTGGTATTGCCAAGCCTTGACTGAGCTCGGATTGTGCTTGCTGATGGCGTTAGAGGAAAGATACGCAGGGCAAATGTACCGAATGTCGCCCTGTGCCTTTGCGACGGCGTCCCAGTACTTGCCCGAATCCGGCCAGTGCCTGTCGTTGGGGTAGTTCTTTGCCAACAGATTGAGGTCGTCGTCCGTCAACAGCGGATAGTGGTCCTTCAGATAAGACTTGAAGTCGCCCAGTGTCTCCGTGTTCTTCTTCACCTGGTCGGACCCCTCGTTGGTGGTGAATCCGATTATGGTGGGGACTTTCGCATAACGTCCTTGGAGGATGGCAGATAGGCCTGGCTCTGTCCACATGCCTCCCTCGGGTTCGATTGTTGGTGCCCACATCCACCGAGGCGGCGAGTTGCGGCCGGGGAATGACATGGGATAATTCTGGAAATAGAGATCTGCAACAGATGCGTTACGAACGCACCCCACGGAAAGATCTGTACAATTGAGGCCCAGTGCAACGTTCTCCCAGAATGTGTTTGACTGGTTCTTGTTGAAGAAAGTTGGTGCAGCAGGGGATTGCGTTATGGCACCGTGGAACAATGCTTTCCTCCCACTGCCCGGCACTGGAAATGTGTGATCACCACCGTTAGCGGAGAGATGAAGCAACACAGATGCCGCACCTGCGCTCGTACCCATTATGACCACATGGTCTGGATTCCCCCCAAAGTACCGAATGTACTTTTGTATCCATTCCAACGACGCCCTCTGGTCTCGCAGGCCCATGTTGAAGTCGCCATCTTTCTCGATCTCGTCTCCACTGAGGAATCCATATATGCCATTGCGATAATACATAGTGACGCAGACAACACCTTTGTCGTTTTTGCCCTTGCTCTTTTCCACAAATTCGCCACAGTTGGAACGTCCAGGCAGATGGAAACCCCCTCCTGGAATATTCACAATAACAGGCAGGTCGTCTCCGGCCTCAGCATCGATGGGCGTGAAAACATTTAGGCTAAGGCAGTCTTCAGTGTGCTCGGCATAGAGACCAGAAATATTATCAGACGCAATATTCCGATTCCGCTGGCTTGGATCGATCTTCTGTATACGCGGGCACATGCCCAACTGCCCTGACCACTCCAGAGTGCCATTGGTATTGTATAGTGGTGGCGGTTGGGGACCTCGGAAGCGGTTCTTGCCCCACGCAGGCGCCGCATACGGCATGTTCCAATAGTACCGAACATTCTCGCTCTTCCTGGGCCGTATAGACAGATAGTCAAGGTCGACACGGTCAGGATCATTGGGGTCTTTTGCGGGAGCGACGAAGCCCGTGGAGGACTTTGTGGTGTCCTTCGGGCCTTGTGGGATCCTGGGAAGCCATTCGGGGTTCAACTGGTAGTGTGTGGGGATAAGCGCGAAGGTAACGATCAATACGAAGACACCCGCGGCGATGACGAGGGGGAGCAGCCGACGACCGAGCATGGCGACCATGATGGAGATTTTTGACCCGCGAAGGGAGGATTCGGCGCTGAAGAGAGAGGGGGAAAGGTAGAGAGAGATAGATAGATAGATAACCGCTAGAGGAAGTGCGGGATGGGAGAAAAAAAAAGAAAAGACAAGAATCAGAAGCGAATTACACGACAGCAGCTCATGCGCTCAACACATGCACATTGCTGGTCGTGGGTGAGAATCAAACTGTACCGCGTGCAACTTAGCCACCCTGATTTTGGATTTGTTGCCCGCTCATAGAGTGAGTGGTTTGGTTTGAATCTTGGAACGCGTGGCACAGAAAGGGGGCGCCTGTATGACGCAAGACACGTCGGAAAGAGCGGAACGGACGGCCTTGGCGATGTCTTGACTTGTTCTTTGCTCCGCTCCGCCATTGTTATGGTTATCGCAATTGCGCTGTTGACATGGTGTTTTGGTGGTGAAATTGGATGTGGGTGTAGGGTCGTGCATTCGTGGAAAGTGATCGCGTGTTGCATGTCATCAAACAACTGTGTTCCGAGGAGTGGCTGATGGCTGAGCGGCCATGGCGTCCAATGCCGGTAGGCTTTTGTATACGATCCGACAAGGGGTTGACGACTGCGAACCGAAAATCCAGACGTCCACAAACGTGCACAGCAATTCTGTAGTACTGGTACTGCATATATTATGTATAAATGCGAGGAGAATAGCAGGTTGACCCACAATGTCACTGGAAATGGCAAATTCGCTCAATTGCTAACCATCGTAAATACGGCCCAACTCACTCGGCAAAAAGACCGCAGCCTGCTCGCAAACTAGGGCCGTGAGGTCTGCTCTCAACAATAAAGAGCAATATATGTAATATTAGCTGGCAAAGTATCATCAACCAAAGCACAAAGCTTCCTTGGTGTAGTTGGTTATCACGTGGGTCTCATATCAAACATATGATTTGGCAACATGCCAGAGCGATCCCAAGGCCGCCAGTTCGAGTCTGGCAGGGAGCAAGCTTTCTTTTTTTGCCGTTGCAGAGTGGTTCCAGTGTTGGTAGCCGGCGCTTGGGTGGAAGATGCGGGGGTGGGGGCTGTCCAGGGGCCAGCGGCAAGCCGTGCTTCGTTAGCCGATCTTCTGGCAAATCGTCTGCACTCCTCCTTTTTTTGCCCTTTTTTCTTAATTTATGTTTCATAGAATATACGTAGTACACAGGATGGCCGCATGAAGAAAATGCACACTCGGTAGTACTGTGATTTATTGCTGGCCTTTCTGATGTATGGTGTGAATTGCCCATTGGCCGAAAGGGGTGTTGTTCGTGACTAACGAGTGCCCAGCGCGCCTACCTTGTATAATCTTGGATTTTCCACTCTGCAAAGACGCCATCTTTTATACACCGCTTCACCGTTCATTACAAAGTGCGCATCGGGATAAAATGATGCGGCCCGTCGTATTGATTTCGCTTCGTCCCTTGTTTCCACCGATCCCCAAAGATGCTGCGGTTCGTCTAATAGTTCCATCGGACTGTTTTGCAATACATGTTTATAGAATAGGACAACGACACAGTGGGCATCTGCCCCCGAGAATCTGCCCTCGCGAGAGTATCTTTACTTGCACTCGATCCCCTCACGAGCAGTCCTGTCTTTGCTTTCCGCTGATTCTCCGTCATCTCAAGGCGAATCATTGAGAACTGATAAGCGCCCTGCTGTTCAGTTCAGCCGCATCGTGGCGCTTGCTAAACATCCTTCCATAGCTACTCTCATACTCACGATGCTTCCATCATTCTACACCACTGCTTCCAAAATTTAGCCCGCCATATGGCTGTACTGCTCAGTGTGGTCTCCTCCAGCAGTAAACCCTCATGAATTTCCCAATTTCCGCCGTCATTTCCAATCAGTTGAGAAGCCGCCTATGTTAGAATCTTCAACATTATCAGGAACTCGCCCAGTACCAGCGTTGTGCCGCACTCGGTATTTGAAACTTGAATCTGGATAAGGCCATCCGCCTCTTCTACAGAAGCGCTAAACCCGACTTTATCATTGATATTCTTGATGAACGCAACGAGATAACCGCCCACGGCTGAAACACCCAACATGGAAAGTACCGAAGCTATAAAAACCTATTCTATGTGACGATTTACTCTTTATAGATGATACCCTCCTCCGTCTTTTGCAATTTCCAAGTCATTACACTCCATTTTTGTACTGTCTACACATTCTTTTATCCAATGCTTTGTTCCACATTCGCTTGATACTCTCTCATTGTCACTCGTTTTCATTCGTTCAATCTTCAGTTGTATTCAATCTTTAGTTTTCCCACCGCAATCGATACATGTTTGACTGTACCTTGTTTATCAACTTCCTCATTCGAATTTCTTGTTCATAGTCATGGACGTCTACACCGAGCCACCATCGAACATCTACATTACGGGCAAATTATTTAAGTTTCCATGCGAAGGCGGAGATGTGCTGGCCATCTCTGTCTCGAATTCATTTGCTCTTCTCCTCAGCGCCGTGTACGCCATCCTGACCATATATCTTTCCACCGCTCTTTGGAATGTTCTTGTTTATGTGGTCATGCTCACGGCTCGACAGGAAAGAGCTATGGCGTGGAATCTCGTTCTCTCTATTTTCTGGAATTCGGCAGAGCCGGTGGTCGCCTTTTCCAACCTTTTTACAACTTCCAATCGGTTGCTCCGCCGCGACTCTTCCTCTGGATTAAAGGATCCATCAGTTCGCTTGGGAATAAAGCTCATGATTTTCTCCTTTCTGATTGCCGGGGGAAGTATTACTGGGGGTATCTTGATCCCTTCGCAACTTAGCCTTGGCTCAGTAGCCCCTGTCAACCCCATTTCAGTCTATATCCCCGGAACTGCTACTCAGCAAAGCATGGGTACCTCTATTCGAATGGGCATGTTGAACAAGCCAGCTACTATCCGTGCCCTTGGAAGCGCCGAAGCCTCCAAAGTCACTCTCCGCAACCGCGTCCACGTTTATCAAGAGGGCACCGATGCTAGCACCGATAACAAGCCCGACTTCACTATTAAATACAGCTACAACTTCACCGGTGTCGAACTTGGACTACCACACTCGCTTGGTCTTTTCCACACTGTTAAAGGCAAGTGCTGGACCGACTATAGCTGGCTGCGTCATGAGCCCGGTAATTCCACATTGAAGATGGACTACTATGATCATTGGAACCTCGGGAACAACAAATCGCAGAGTTTTGTCCACGGGGCTAACAGCCTCAATGTCAACCATCAACTCGGCGTTACTGGCGCTGTGCATCCTGATCTCGTTGCTGACGCTGACCTCGTTGCCAATCCTCCCTCCAACATGTCGTATGCCATTCTATATTCCACCGCGCACTTGGCCTCCACCACTGAATCCAACGATGCCATGTATCAGACCGAACTGATGCCCACATCCTACCCGCTGCGCAACATCTATCCTTTTCGCATCCGCGCCGAACGTCCAGCCCTCTCTTGCTGGCAATCCAGCGAATTCTGCGTCCACGGCCAGTGCAACAGTCTGAACGACATCGCCAAGAAAAATCCTCCTACCCTCCCTCCAGCCACCATCCTAACGCTGTCTCGCATCGCGACTCCAGTAATTGTTCGTATCACAAACGCCATGGGTCCTTCCTCACTCATGTCTTTCTACGGCCCCCAACCCGGATCGTCAGTGGATGCAGGTGGTAGCTCGGCAATTGCGGATTTCGAACGCATGATCATGGGCGCTTATCTACTGTCGCGCAACCTCTTCCGTGACACGGCGATGGCGACGCCAGTGGATGGCTTCACAAACATGATACTTAATGCTAAGAACCAACCTCATGAGGGCACTGGCAATTTTGTGATTGAATCTGGACTCGTCACTGCTCTATCGTTTTGGTGGCTCGTCGCGTTACCAACGGCAGCGGTACTGCTTTTCTTGGTGGGTGTTATATTGGGAGGAATGGTGAGGAGTGTTGGTGAGGGGAATTTGAGAGTTCGGCCTGCGCAGAGGGAGAGGATGGTTGCATTGTCGATGGGACAGTTGTTCCGCAGAGCAAGTTGGAGAGGTGAAGAGTTCTGGACTAAGAGGTTTGCGAATAGAATGATTCCTGTGCCAGTGGATGACAAAGAGGAATTGGGTTGGGATAGTAAGGAGACGAATGAGGTGGAGAAGATGGATACGGTGTAATGATTTGACAAGCAGGAAGGGGTTTAATAGCTGCAAAGTGGTCAAAATTGGCCATAAGGTAAGTGAAGTTTGGGGAATGGTTATGAAATTACGGTCCGAGTTTGCCAGGTGCAATATGGTTGTGATGGGCTGGAGACTCACTGTACGGTATTTAAATAGTGAAAAAGGAACCGGAATTGGGTATATTTACAGTTGAATGACTGTATATGACCCTTGTCATTATATCTTGCATCGATTCTGGTTCCATGACAGTAAATTGTTACCAGCGAATGTTTAATATTATTGTGATCTTCCGAGATCCAAATGTCAAAAAAAGTTTCGATCCGTGCCAACTACATCTCCGTGCAAACCCATCCCCACCCTAAAAATAAAACGCCTTAACCGCGATCTGCATACCACGAAGTGAAATAGAAAAATCCACTTTCACATTCTCCTGCCTTATATCCTTCAACAAGTAATCCCCTGAATCCCCTAGTCCCTCATTCGCCACTGTATCAATCCTAAACCTCACATCCTGCGCCACATACTTATAAGTCCCATCGCCCTTACCCCTAGCAGGCAAAACCTCCAACGCCACTGTATCTACCTGGCCCGCGACAACTGGAGGTAGTACCGGCGAAAGCATCATCGTATTCGCCGCCGTACTCTCGAACCTCGGCCATGGCAGCTTCAAATACAGCACGGAACTCTCCAGCTCAGGTGGGCATTGATTCCGCCTGCGACCAAAGATGTCGTCGCGGTAGTCGCGGAAGCCTGTGAGTTGGTCTTTGAAGACCCAGCAGAAACGTACTTCATCGCCTTCTTTGATGTGCTCACCTTCGGTCACGGCGCCGACCTTGAGAATACGCCAGTATTGGTTTTCGTCGCTGTCAGACATGCCGGGGAGGAAGACGCCTTGTTGGTTGCGGAAGACGACGATGTGGGATACAGGGGCGCCTTTGGGTGGTTCGATGGGTTTGGTGGCATCGACGGGTTTGTTGGGGTCCGGGGGTTCGATGTATGGGTTGGTGCGGAGGATGATGCGGGAACCGTGAGTGAGCTAGGTTGTGGAGGTTAGGTTTGTGGGAAGGATTGTCTAGGGGAGCTTACGGATTCGCTGAATGGGGCGAGGATGTTCCACTATACATGTAACAATCAGCTTCGTTTCATTGGAGAGACTTCTTTGAGTGTTATACCTCTGTGTGGGTGAATTCGGCATTGTATTGGGCGCCGAAGGGAGTGCCGCCCACTATGCTCTTGCTGTAGCCTTGGAGAACTGGAGCGCGGAAGCTGGATCATGTGAGCTTTAAATTTCCTTCTCATGAATTTATTTTTGTCGTTGAAAACTTACTTGGCTGGGCCGAAAAGTGCTATTTCCGTTGGATATTCAATCATTCTACCCCAGAAATTCAGCCGGTCCACACCCATCAGCCTCGGCTTGGATCCACCAAACGCACTGGGATCGTGACCGAGATAGTAGGATGGATCAGCCTCGTTTTGCTTAGAGAGTCCGTTTGTTGGTGCAGTGAGGCGGAAGCGTGCCATGACCTGGCGGCTGTCGTCGAGCTCGATGTATTTGGATATTGCGGGTACGGCCTGGATGAACCAGCTCTTGACCTCGCGGTAGCCGGGAATATCGGCTATGATGTCGGCTAGAGGAGCCATGCCATCTCTCTGTGTCTTGTGTTGGTAGGGGATTCGGGACATATGGCGGGGGTTTAGGACTTACATTAATGACGCGCCAGAATTGATGCTTTGCTACGGTTGGCGCCCACAGACCTGGACTGTGTTCGTTAGTAAATTATAACTTGGGTAATTATATCGGTATTTCTTACTTGTTAGCCAGTATAGTA